GGGGCGGGGCCGGGTGTCAATCCATCCCCGCACGGGTTTATACGGGTATCCCCGTTATAAATCCTTCGTCTAATATGTATGGTCCATCCCTGGTCCAACCGGGCCAAATTTGGGTGAATTCTCATTTTTCTCCGGTCCACTACCATACCTAATCAAAGTTGAATTGTCTAACTTGTCTGACTGAGTCAGAACAATTCAACCCTGAGTTATGCCGATTTGACTGAGTATCGTGATTTTTGCGTATCGTGTATTGTTATCAAATCGGAGGTGGCCGAGTCATATTCTCGTATAGGACTCGGCCAATACTTTGAACCTAGAATTGAAGTACTCAATCAATTTCAACCAGTCTGGTAGCAACAAAATGATACTAAGTGGGGAGGGGCACTAACAAATTAAAGCATCCAAAAGTTATTAAAAATATTTCTGATGAGTAATTATGACAAACTTTTTTTTTTCCTACTCTTGGTTTGGATAAGCTTATATCCAACAAATTTGGAATGCATTAGCATGGATGATCCTTAATCGTCCCTATTTCCCAAATGCTACTTCAAAATCAATAATGAAGAACAATCAAGTCCAATTGAAATTAAAAGCACCGAGATGATTATTACAATAACCCTAATTTAAAACAGTTATCACAAAGCAAGAAACCATAAAAAGGAAGGTTACAAAGAAATCAATGGATACCATGTCAAAAAATATAATTTATGTAAAGACAACAACTGTTAATTAACTTTTATGGATGGTAAAATATATGCTTTTGCGTCTATGTTGTAAAAAGATGCATCGTATATCCTCATTCATTTATTCAGTTCTTTGTTTGTCTTAGTTTATACTTTATAGAACCCTGATAACTTTTGGCAAAGTTAGACATATAAATTTATGTTATTCTATATGAACTGAAACCTCCAACAACAAGATAAGAGTTATTTTATTCGCCCCCCCTCTCTCTTCCCCCTTCTTTTTTATTCTGTGTATGGGTAGGGGCCGGGGATAGTCCATCCTCAATATTAAGTACCATTTAATCCAACATTTACACAACTATATCATCCAATTTGATGTATTTACAACATAAACACATAATGGATGATTAAATTGAATATTTTGTCTCACTATATGAAATAGTTGTAAACAAATGGACACCTATCAGATTCTAAGAGAAGATGCATCATCATCAAAAGGAGGATTTTTAAGCCAGAAATATCACCTGAAGTTTCTCCAATGTTTTGGATAATGATGAAAATATCCACAAAATAAACCATGCATCCAAGAAAGCAACAGGTAGCACCAAATATAACCGAGTTTTTCCAGAGAAGTCGTTGATGTTTCCCAAATGTTTAAAGAGATCAAGTGCTTCCGAAGCAACAAAATATATCACACCAAGAGCAAGTACTTTTTTTGTCGCACCACCAAGGGTAGGCCTCACTACACCATAGCCCATTGAAACCACCAAAAGTAGAAGGCGAGACAGAGTCTTTTTAACAGCACTGGTGGTTACTGCCCACATTGTAATTCCCATCGGCCTGCTTCCAGTAGCATTAAGGTTTGCAAATTCAAAATACCAGAGAGCCATTTCACACATTCCAAGTGATATTACTGCTGTAATGTGATAATGCAACTGAATGATATCCCTCCAGAATTGGACAAACCTCAAAAACCAGATTAGACCAAGCACAAGATAAGCTAAGGATGCAAATCCATAGAAAGTCATCAAGGGAGCCATCTTCCCAGGTAAATAACCACCTGGGTTCCTCCACACTGTTTGTCCTCTTATTACCGTGCCCTCGAGTTGAGGATCACAAAACATAAAGTAAAGATAGTACATACCAGTATGATCTATTTCAACCGACTGACTAATCATTTTAGCTTCTTCATTTTTCCCTTCAAAGAAGGTTTGAATACGTTTTGGCCACTCAGGGTTGTCTGGATTTTTCTGAATAATAACCTCCCCTACCGTGCAGAATTCGTCCTGAGACAGTTTTGGAGTGCAACATATCGCATTAGATTTTGCAAACACATCTCCAATCCCTTCTTTGTCTTTCACCTCAAGTATGATAGCTTCGATTAACCCAGTCCTACTCTGCATTGCATTTTTTTTATCAGCGGATTCTTTCGTCCTCACAAATGTGACACTTTCAAACCTGCAAATCCATCAGCAAGTGCGAGGTCAGACATACAAGTATCTAATTAAATTCAGGTAAAGATTTTTCCTTCCTTCTTTTGTTAGGGGGTGGAGGTGAACGACGGCCTTTTAAATTCGATTTGGCATATTAATCAAAAGAAGCATATTTAGTAAAGTTTAAACTCCACCGCAATCAATCAAACACTCTGGTCTATAAAGGGAAAAATCGAATCATCATATCATGCAGTTGTTGGAAATATATTTACATGCATAAAAACGTCTGTGTCTGTCTGTCTGGATATTTAAAAAAAAAAAAGAAAAGAAAAAAATTGGGATTCCGAAGATAATATATTACCAAATGAAGGACTTTCCTTTGGGTTTATCCGGAGAGGTTTCCGAAGGTGATGATTTGTGAACCCTGGAAGCGTAGAGGCCCTCACTGCCGCCATGGAAAGAGAAGGCACTTGACAAATGGATGAAGTGTTCGTTTCGATACTCGTGAATCGAAGCACCCACATATGTGATTGAGTTGAATATAAAAGCAAATCCAACCACAAACCCTAGCCAGCCTTTAAAAGACCAAAAGCTTCTCTCTTTCATCTTTCTCCGTGTGTGTGCCGGTTGGGGGTGGAGAGAGAGAGGGTAAAGGAACTGAAAGTTTAGCAGAGATATAAACAGTGACGGCGAAAGTTAAGCAGAAGAGATTGAATGCCGACAAACAACCAGAATGAGAAGATGGAAGTGATGTGGCACCTACTTTGCGTTGAGAATTGAGAAGCTGTTTGTTTATACAGGCAAAAAACGATGTCGTCTCTCTCTCTCTCTCTCTTAGGTTTGACGATTCAAAAGTAGTTTAGACTCCGCTTGCTATAAAAGCTGGGAGGTTAAGGGCGTTTTGGGAGTGTATTTATAAATTTCAGAAAAATGTTTTTTAAATTAATATTTTAAAATGTGACTAATAAAAGTATTTTAAAATTTATTTCATTGAATAAATACTATTAGAATGTTTATACAAAATAAAATAAAAATTGAACTTTGTAGGCTTATGAAGCAATGTTCCAAAAAAAGGAAGGGGGTATATATGAAACCACATACACATTTTCGTACAAACGATGATCATAGTGATAGTGATGGTAATAATTGATGAGAGTAGATATAACAGACAGTAGTAGATGAAAAGGCTCCAGCAAGAACTTTCATGAAGGTATGGCTATTTAATTGTGGCCACTTACCAATTACTAGTATTATGTATGTAAACGAGGTAGAGTCCAAGACCTGATGCAACAACAGGCGGAGGAATCGAATAATCACGGATATATTTCTCATCTTGTGAGCATCAATGTAACATCATATCATTATTATCGTCACGTAATGTCATTTTATTCATTAAAAAATTAATTAAATAGATAAAAATGAACCTCATTTTCTTGCACGAAATAATTATTGTATTAAGAATATTACAAACATTAATTAGATGACAGATAATCGTCCACTTAAATGAATTTCGATTGGTCGGAAATTTGAGAGTCATATATAATCTTTTTAGAGCAATGTTATATGAGTTTAAAAAAAAAAATACTACATAATCCAAATACAACTCAAAAATTCAAATTCAAATACATATCATCCTTTGAATGAATGAGTTTTATTGAAAAAGTTGATATAACTCATTCATCCAATGAAAGATATATATTTGAGTTACAATTTTCTTGGATTTTATAGCATTATTTTTTTAAAAATAAACTTAAAATATGTACTTAATAATCACAATCATTCCTTTTATTTTAGGTCCTAATATTTATTATCCATTTTATTGTAATAATTGTGATTGGCAAGCACACATTTTAAATACAAATAACATTTGGCTGTCTCTTTTCTTTCCCCCAATAAAGCTACTTTATAATTCATGTGCCAGCCAGCCAATCATCCATTTGCATCTTCTGCAAAGCCATGAGATGAGTTTAGGTCACTGATAATATAAACAACAACAACAATGAGCATTAATTTACTAATTTTACTTTGTTTAGTATCAACTACCCTACTCCTTATATGATCTTGTGAACTTCTTGCTCGCCATCCCCACCAGAAGTCCCACTTTTTTCTTCTTGCTTCAATTGAGCTGTTCCTCGGGCAGTTTCATGATGTCCTTTGGTTTGGCCAAATACCGGAACTTGCGTTCTGAATTCGAATTTTGGTAATTTGAAACGTTATAAGTTTAAATTTTGGTAATTTTTTGATAAATTTATTTTTTATGAATATTTTAGTCTTGACATGAATAGTCTCCATTGAATAGAAAGAAAAAGGGGGAGAATTATACCTAGACCTGACGAGATTTGTCACTTAATCGCTCAAATCCCTGATAGTTGAAATATTATATATAGACTCCTGAGATTTGTATGTGCGTAACACTTAAACCCCTTTCGTCAAATGTCCGTATATTGGTTAGTAAATTATACTCAGACCCCTTAAAGATTATAGACGTATAATATTTAAATCCCTTAAATTTAAAATGTTATATTTAGACAAAAAATATTCCAATCAAAGATAGATTATCAAATATTTTAAATTTTACAGCCAAAATTTATATTATATTGTATCATTTTTTGAAATAAAATCAAAAATCAAAAACTAATTTTTTCTTAAAAAATCACAATTAATATACAATTAAACTATCTATTGGAATAAAACTAAAAAATCAAACAAGGGGTCTAACTCATTCATAATAGAACACAAATTTTACAACAAAAATTCATGTTCTATTATGTCATTTATTGAAATAAAATTAAAATTAAAATTTTAATTTTTTTTAAATAATTCATAATTAGAATACAATTTTACTATCTGTTGAAATAAAATTAAAAAATAAACAAAGTGTCAAACTGTAATGGACACAATACATTCTAATCTTAATTGGGATAATTAAACGACTAAATTAAATTACAATAAATAGTATAATTGTATACTAATTATGAGTTTATAAAAAAAATTAGATTTTTATTTTAAATTTTATTTCAATAAATGTTATAATAGTATATAAATTTTGGTTGTAAAATTTAAAATATTTGATATTCTCTTTTGGCTTAGTATATTTTTGGTCTACGTGTAATATTTTAAACTTTGAGACATCTAAATATTACACGCCTATAAATTTCAAGGGGTCTAAATATAATTTATTAACGAATATACTAACGGATATTGACGGTAAGAGTCTAAGTGTCACGTGCGTACAAACCTTAGGAGATCTGTATGTAATATTTTAAATATCAGGGAATTCCAATGATTAAGTGATAAACTTCAAGGGATTTGAGTGTAATTCTCCAGAGAGAGAGAGAGAGAGAGAGAGAGAGAGAGAGAGAGAGAGAGAGAGAGAGAGAGGGCATTGGTATTGTTGGGCAATTCTAGTGGGTGGGTTTGCCACTGATACCAAACTTGACGCATTGGGGGGCTTAATTTGTACAAATCAGACTCCATATTCATCGCCTTGTTGTCCATTACATACATTCCATAACAAAGTCCACTTCCACTTACTCGATATTAATAAACAGGGCAAGGGCTTTACGTCTCCACTTACTTATAGACTCTGAACTCCACTAACATGACCAGTTTTGTCAGATAACTTCTCATAGTTAAATACGCTTGTTTGGCTACAAAACTTCCCTGGAGTCTTTTGCATATGCCTCCATTGAAATATGGTCATGTTTCATTATTTAGACACCATATTAGTCCCCTTGAGTCTCTTCATCACAATCGGCTACCATGCCTATCTTTGGCACATCTTCAAGAACAAGCCGTCTCTGACATCAATTGGCATGGACTTCTTAGTAAGGAGAGCATGGCTTCAAGAACTCAATCAGGCAAATCCAGATGTTCTTGACATAACCATTTATATTTATATCTCTGTCGCCAATCTTCCCATTGATTTGATTAAATACCAGTTTTCATGTGCAGGGTGATGAGAAGAAGGGCATGCTGGCGGTTCAAAGCTTGAGAAATTCTTTGATGGCTACTATATTAACTGCTTCAATCACTATTCTCATTACAGTGTCATTGGCAGCTCTGACAAACAACGTCTACAATGGAAACCACCTCTTCAGTGGTACTTTTTTCGCCTCACATTCCAGTAGGATTACAGTATTGAAGTATGGCTGCGCGTCACTCTTTTTGCTGGCAAGCTTCTTATGTAGCTCTGTCGCCCTCGGATGCTTGGTAGATGCCATTTTCTTGATCAATGCATTGGGCGAATTCTCATTGTCCCCTGAATACGCACAAATGATATTTGAAAGAGGTTTCATGTTGGCTACGGTTGGCAGCCGGGTGCTTTGCCTCACTTTTCCACTCTTGTTATGGACGTTAGGTCCAGTGCCAGTGGCCGTGTCTTNAGAGAGAGAGAGAGAGAGAGAGAGAGGGCATTGGTATTGTTGGGCAATTCTAGTGGGTGGGTTTGCCACTGATACCAAACTTGACGCATTGGGGGGCTTAATTTGTACAAATCAGACTCCATATTCATCGCCTTGTTGTCCATTACATACATTCCATAACAAAGTCCACTTCCACTTACTCGATATTAATAAACAGGGCAAGGGCTTTACGTCTCCACTTACTTATAGACTCTGAACTCCACTAACATGACCAGTTTTGTCAGATAACTTCTCATAGTTAAATACGCTTGTTTGGCTACAAAACTTCCCTGGAGTCTTTTGCATATGCCTCCATTGAAATATGGTCATGTTTCATTATTTAGACACCATATTAGTCCCCTTGAGTCTCTTCATCACAATCGGCTACCATGCCTATCTTTGGCACATCTTCAAGAACAAGCCGTCTCTGACATCAATTGGCATGGACTTCTTAGTAAGGAGAGCATGGCTTCAAGAACTCAATCAGGCAAATCCAGATGTTCTTGACATAACCATTTATATTTATATCTCTGTCGCCAATCTTCCCATTGATTTGATTAAATACCAGTTTTCATGTGCAGGGTGATGAGAAGAAGGGCATGCTGGCGGTTCAAAGCTTGAGAAATTCTTTGATGGCTACTATATTAACTGCTTCAATCACTATTCTCATTACAGTGTCATTGGCAGCTCTGACAAACAACGTCTACAATGGAAACCACCTCTTCAGTGGTACTTTTTTCGCCTCACATTCCAGTAGGATTACAGTATTGAAGTATGGCTGCGCGTCACTCTTTTTGCTGGCAAGCTTCTTATGTAGCTCTGTCGCCCTCGGATGCTTGGTAGATGCCATTTTCTTGATCAATGCATTGGGCGAATTCTCATTGTCCCCTGAATACGCACAAATGATATTTGAAAGAGGTTTCATGTTGGCTACGGTTGGCAGCCGGGTGCTTTGCCTCACTTTTCCACTCTTGTTATGGACGTTAGGTCCAGTGCCAGTGGCCGTGTCTTCTATGGCGTTGGTTTGGGGACTCTATGGGCTTGATTTTGCTGCCAACTTCACGGAAACTATTAAGAAGAGCCTCACTTGAAGGAATATTACGGATGCCATGTATAAACTTTGTGAGCATTTTTTTAACTCACATTACAGAGATTGATTTGTCTAGATTGAGAAATCTCTGAGGGGTTATCCACTTTGGGTATGAGTGCAACAAAAGTCACTATTGAATTCCGTAGGGCAAGATTCCTCCTGTTTTTTTTTTTTTGTTCCTTGGTTTCAGTCATGTTAAAACCAGAGGAACATACTGTCTCAATTTATGGTAACATAGTACTTAAAGGCTGTCAGGTCCAGGGATTTTATAGGCTCCTATATTCCGTACAACATTATGAATTTCAATAGCTCTGACTTTGTGGCTAACAACTAATGCATGTGTTTCTAGTGCTCATCAACAACAGTTAATAATATAGTGAGGTGTTCTTGAACTAAACTCTTGATTTCTGCTTGATCCGATCTCCGGTTTTCCTGATGTATTCTTTAGCAATTCCCCTCTTGGTGATATGAAAATATTTGGATTTCTCTCGACAAGGGAGGGAAATCCATTGGACCTGGATTTCCTCTTCCTCCACAAGAATATCTCGGGATTATGTGAATGAGTGTGTATCTTGGGCTTTCAGAATACCTTCAATTCTTGCAAATGCTCTCCTTTTACATGCAAACATGTTGCCAAAAACATTCTTCATTAGTCCATTACTGGGGGCAGCTTTAGCAAAAGATTTGGTTAAATCAATTGCTAACAGGGAGTTATTAGCATTCTACCATGCTAATTTTAGCCACCACCTATCTATATGAATGATTGGTTTGTACTTATTTAGTCCAAGCCGCCTCTAACCTAAATGGTCTAAGAAAAGTAGTTTGGTTAAATAACTGTGAACCTGAAAGGTACTGGGCAGGGATCAAAATAAGGATCTCTTTGCAAATTTGTGACAATAGTATCAGGGAATTGGCCAAGTGCGCTCTCCAACCTTACAAGTGTATATTGGCTAGGTCTTTGTCTTTCCGCTACTGCTTCTTGTTCTATGTTAGCCTTGGCCCAACCACGGCAACCCAGATTCAATTAGACTACTGAATTTTCTGCATCTATTGAATTTTGGGCTTGGAGTTGGAACTTCCTCTCTTTTCAGATTAGTTTGAGAAGTCGAGGAAGTTTCTTGCACGGCCATATCCAAGATTGGCTCATGTTTTCTCTTTACTTAGACTGAGGTTGTCCTGTTCCAGGGTGGATGACTCAACTGTGGGCTTCTTATATTGTTGCAGTTGCCTTAGCCGGGTGATCGGATCCCACAGTAAGCATGTATCTCCCTGTCTACCTTCTCACACATTGTTAACCACCCTAATTGCTCAAAGAAATTCCCCAAACTCGCACTCTGAAGTCCATTTTCCATTAAAACTATGACCACAGGATGTTGGGTCTAATAACGTCTGTCTCTTGTAAATCTGAGAAATAATCTTTCATTTCCTGTTGTACCACCCTTCTAAGAAGTAATTTTCACTCATGATATAGAAATAGTTCGAAGAATTAAAGTTCACTTCCGCTCGTTAAGTGTTTGTGAGTTTAAACCTCATCCCCTTTACCTCTTCCAAAAGGGGAAAGAAATCTTAATGTCCTGCACACCCACTCCCTGTTTACCTAAGGTGGGGAGGTTGGCACCCACTCAGTGTCTATGTGCTTGAGGTGGCATGCTTGTGGCTCTACGACTAGTCATTCCCAGTGGATCATCCAATTGGCAGTGACATAGAAGAACCTCCAGGATGTGTTTGGATTTGGATTTGCTGTTTGGATTTGTGATTCATCTCAGAATTGAATGAGATACCTTTATTATCAGGCTGGGCCGCTTTTTTGAGCTGGTTCCTTCTGATTTGCTTGGGTCCAAGTTGTTTTCTGGTTGACATGGCTCACTAATTGAGCTACTCCTTCTGTGAGTTGGTATTCTAAATGTAAATCTATATATATATATATATATATATATATATATAAAGTCATTTGGAAGCCGGTACACTAAATTAAATATAATTATAAAATAATGCACAGAAAAAAATGTGTTAAAAAGAAGTACACTATTGAGATACAAAGACTTAACTGCCTATTTTCTAAAATTTACTTTCCTAAAAACAGTTTTAGGAATATATCTTAAAATTAATTAGGTACACAATGATAATGCTTAACCGTTGGATTTTAGGAACATTAATTCGCGAAAAGCTTTTATCTTCGGAAAACGTTTGCCGCTTTTTCTTCCTCTTAAAAAATCGTTTCATCTTCCTCAGCGAGAAGGCCTAAATCGTTTCCTGAACATCTACAGAGTTTCGTCTTTGAAAGAAAAATCTTACTGGTCCGCCATTTTGATGTAAGGTCGTCAACGTGGGAATTAACACAGGATTGCATGTGGTGTGTATGTTTGTTACATAATAAAAAAAATCAACAAAAGAGAAGAAATTGAATAGAAGTTAACAACAAGACAGATGAACGAATTCCGAGCTGAAATTAATTCACTGTTCGTCAACCATACAAATTCTTAGAGTGAAGAAGATTTGAAAATACAGCGAGAACTGAAGAAATTATATGTGGACAAATGACAAAATTTGTCATCGTGCATGTACTTTAAAATTGAACATTAGTGGACCATAAGTCATGGATTTAGATATTCAGTTACAAGAATATTTTATGTGGTGAATTTTAATTATCCACATTATTCAGAGATGCATGTGTTTTTGCCGTATTAATTTATTGTGTGTTAATAAACTGTGTGTATCTCCTAACTGTTGACTATGTTTACTTCATAGTGTAACAAAAACAGTGTTTAAGGGTTTTGTGGATGTTGTCACAAATTCAAAATAAAGATGAACTATTTAAATGAAGTTATATGCAAATATATGTTTGACAAAATGTAACAGTATAATATTTTGTGTAAGTGTATTGTTATACTGTTATGGTGTTCACATAAAAAAACCAGAATAATCACCTTTAAAATGACATGCATAAACCTAAAAGAGTGATGAATTTAAACCTTGTAATTGTTTAGATTGAATGATAAGGATGAAATAATGTTTCAGACTTACACTGATAAATGACTTCTAGGCCAAATAAGAAGAAGAAAACATATAATACTGTTGCAAAATTTAAAATTCAAACCAACTGATTTATCCTCAAAATAAATGGAAGAATCAAATCTTTCATTAAATTAGGGAATTTTAATGTATAAATATAATTTGGAAAAAAAAATCAGTTTCCAAAAATAAATCTCATGAATTAAGGAAGGACACAAATTTTAAAGGAAAGTCCAAAAATTTCAAATAATGTACTTGGACACAATTAAGAACTAAAATTAAGGACTTCCTTACTTTACATTTTTTCCTGTGTACTTTTTTACAACTAAATCCAATTTAGTGTATCCTTTTCCAATTTACAGTAAAAAAAAAAAAAATATTGGAGGCCTGTTCCCTTTTGTTGACTTATTTGATGATAAGTCTATCAAGAAAATTTATTTAATATTACGTCTATTTTGATCTTTATTGTCCAAAATACCCTCATTAGTTATATTTAATTACAACAAATTTGAAAACTAATAACTCCTAAATTTTAGTAACATTCAAACACAAAAAATAGTACCACTTAAACATAAAAAAAATAGTAATATTTAGAAAAAATAACAGTAGTAACATAGTCAACAAAAAAAAAAAGTAACATTGAATATTAATATTTCAGAAAAATAGTAGCATTCAATATTAAAAATAGCATGTTTATCAAAAAAATAGTAACAAACTCAATAAAAATAGTAACATGAAAAAAAGTAATAACATGCACAACAAAAAAATAGTAACATGCATAATAACATTCAATATTAAATTAATTATAGTCTTCTCAGCAAAAAAAATAAAATAATTGAGTCTATAATTTCCATTTGTGATTTGAAACAAGCCCAATAATATAGATCCAAAAAATAATGAACTTCTTGATAACATGAAATCAATGTCGGCAGGCTTTACTTCAAATTTTTGGACAATAGAGTGGAGAACTCGCGGGTTATTAAAAAATACACTAGCCCATACTTTTGTAAAAATGTATATAACCTTCTTGATTTTCATGTTTCTTCTAAACCTTGTCATCGTCGTCGTCTTAGGGATTGTAGTATGGACGATTAGACTTTGCACAAAGTTGTTATAGGGGAGATTGTTAGGGGAGGATGAGTTCGAAAAGACAGGTTGAAAAAGATTTGGGACCGTGAGACTGAAGTATTTGGTCGAGAAACAATCGGGTTTTGAAGTTTTCTAGAGGAAAGTCACTGTACACTAGAGATAGAAGGGGGCAAGGGTGAGAGAGAGAGAGAGAGAAATGGTAGTGATTTCAAATTTAAATTTAAATTTTAGATTTTAAGAAAAAAATCTTCCATTAAGTGTGAATAAGGGATAATTGTTTAGGAAATTGATTTAATGTTGAATTTTTTTTTGAAGTCATTAGAAGGGTATTTTGGAGTTTTAAAAAAAATAGTAGATTTAACTACTTATTAGTAAGATTAAAAATGGAATTACCCATAAATAAATTTTCTTGATGAACTAAACTCATTATAAGTCTCTTAAGAAGGACTAAACCCCAATTTTCACTAAAAAGAAGTGATGTTTGAAATCTGAAAGCAAACATTCGCGCTCCAACTTTTCATAAGGATTGTCCATATGTTAGATTATGTCGTATTTATAAGTTGTGTAAATGGTGTGATATAAACACTTGTTCAACTATAATTGGTCACTTTATGAGAATGTAATCTAGATTCATTTAATACTCTGTTTGTGTCATGTATAAATTGCGTTTAAGTGAGTTCGTGTTCTCTTTAATTAGATTCATATCAACTTATTTATTTGACGAGTTTGACAGATCCACACGTTTACCATTCATATCCATATGAATGAATCTAAACATGCTAACTTCTTATTAACTTTATATCAAATTTGTGATTTTTTTTTTCTAAAATTATTACCTTATATGATTTCCCAACATATACCGTAACACTAGAGGTTTAGATAGATCGATAGGAAAACTTT